ACGTGTTCAATGGAGTTTCATGAGGAATTATTTGGTTATGTTGATCATATGGTGGATAAAGTATTGTCTGTACCTACGCGTGATGGTGACGAAGAGTGAAGAAGATCCAGGTATTCTAGAAAACGGATATCAATAAGCAAAGAGGAATCGCTAGATAGCTGCACCGTAAGGAAATGAGAAAATTCCAAAAATAAATCGCAAATCTGTTATAACTGTAGCGACAACTGTACGCTTTGAAGTCTGTCCACGCTGCTTGCTCAAACTATACCCTACCATGAAACTTGACATCAGTGAGATGCGGCAAATGTCCCTTTGTTCGTATACCGCCGACAACCACTGAGAAACAGCCACAGGTTGTGCTACCAGTCCAACGCAAAGATCACTTGCTGAGAGGCTACAGAGCAGCATTTTGGACGGCGGATGAAGGGAAGATTCTTTGAGGAGAGCGACAAGGATCAGCGAGTTCAATAGAGTTGCACTAAATGACAACAGAATGTTGAAGACCGACAGAAATATCAGATGTTAGTGTAGTCACCAATGATATCTGCTGAGTAGAACAGGTCCAGTACTTTGTTATTGTCCTGTCCGAAACTGTAGTTTTTTGTTTCCATTTTCTTCTAATCATGGTATAAACTATTCGTATTAGCCAATTCCACGTGAGTTGTCAAACACGCATGAGAGTCATTCATACGCGATTTCTATTGATCTGCATAGTGCATGATCTTCTCCTTTACGACTTCAGCAGGTTAATAAGTAAATCGTTTACACTCGGTTTGCCGGTATCATTTCTTGAGGAGAAGGCAGTTTTTGTTATTACCAAGCAAGATGATTTTTCTTCACTACATTTAATTATCGATTCATGTAAACAACTATATAGATGTGAAGCACCGTAACGCTTCTCTTTCCTAAAATTAAAAAAAAAAAACCGGATTTCCATTGAATGACTACGCTTTTAATATAGGAACTTAAATCAATAAGGCGAAAGTGAAATCATCTTCTTATGTTAACAAAATTTAGTTCGGCGAAGAAGGCATCCGCTTGAAATATTCCTTTTTGGAACTTAAGGGATAAGGTTGTGGTTCCATAACGTTATTTATTTTTTTTCTATCATAACCGCTTACTTCTTCCTTCATTTCTCAATCTATTTGTCACCAATAACTTCGCACATTCGTATCTCACCAGAAAAGGCATTGATTACCGATATCATCAATTTCGAACCAATGTCAAATATTTTTTTGTGTTTTTTTCAAGGACCAAAATTTGGAATTCCTTACCTCATTAGGCATTTTGAAACTCTTTTTTCTTTAAAAAGACATCTTCAAAGTCCTTTGCTAAATCGATTGATATACTGATGATCAAGATTGATGGTTTGGCAACAGAAATATTCCCAATGAACGCGTATCGCTCGCAAATACATCTTTTTTTTATTAAGCA